TTTATTACAATTATATACGTAATGTAAATTATATCATATTATGTAAATTTAGTACTCATACATTAACTTGAAAGATTTTTGAATTATAATTTCGTAAATTAAAATATTATAATGTTAAATATTTCTATTAATTTTTGGAAATTTTTATAATACTTTTTATAATTTCGTGTATGAATGGAAATAATTTTGTCTATATAAAAAAAATTTCAATCAATTGTAATTGTTTTATACGTATTTAATTATCTAGTTTCTTAGGCAGCTAAGATTTTTGATACTTATCACGAAGTTACATCATGTAATATGGGGTAATAATCTAAACATTAATGTAACGCAAGCCTGTGGAATTACTCTTGTAGAAGGGTTTAGAAAGGAATGTCTCAGAGAAAAAGAAAAGAGTCGACGTGAAAAATATCGTATTTTTTTTTTTTCAACATTTCCCTGCTTGCTGTTGTGCTTTTCGTTCTGAAATTCACGATAATGGTTGAATTACTCTTCCGTCACTTTACGAACAATAGCGTTCGGATTATATTTCTTTCAAGAAAAAATTACGAAACGATTAAAAACCTTCCATTATTACCTTCCATTCTTATTCCTTGTTTTGTTTATTCCGGATTCTTTAAATATTCACGAAAAATTAATCAATGCAATCGATTCCGGGAGATTGTTCATTTATATTCAAAAAGGCTTTCACTTATATTATGAGACGCTTTTAATTTGAATTTTTATCGATTTGCTTAACAAAATATCGATGCCTTAAAGTGGTTAATTCTTACGAAACTGAATTGATGGTAAAACATATAATATTTTCTCTATATCGAAAATTTAGAACTTTAGAAAACAAATATATATAAACAATACACTTTTTACAACTTAATTAATATTAATATTCAGACAACGCGTTGGTAAAACGTTCCAAAAAAATTTTTTCATCCCCTAGTATTCAAAATCGAAACGAGAGGAGCGTAAAACAGGAAGTTCTGTCGACTTCTCCTCATCAATCCGTTTCCCAGAGGAGCGATGCGTCGAGGGAGAGCACGATCCTCGTCGCGAATGGATTAAACGAGACGAAAATTGTTTCGACGATGTGCACGCGGCTGTTCCATCGAGAGAAAACGAAAATAATTTCCAAAATGCGCTCCACACTCGCGAAAAGGATTCGCATCGTGGGCGGAAGGGAAGTTGTAGATGGTGTAAACACGTTACAACTTCGAAAGCGATCCAAACACCACGATGGCTCTCTTAAAAGTTGCCACACGGTCTCGACGCGATTTTAACGACACGGTTGCCAACTTTCCTTCTTCGAGAAACGTTTATGCGACCATTTTACTCGTCGTGTCCGGTTGTTGGAATACTCGAACGGGGCTATGCTATGAATTTCCGATAAGAATGTGAAATTGAAAGATTTAGATGAGGTAAAGATTTTCAGTCAATTGGTTTTGGATTTATGAAATAAATATTTGGGAAATGAGAATTTGGTGAAATTTGTATTCAAAGTTTAAGTGAGTTTGGAATAATATTTTTATTAATAATAATAGTTTCTTAACGGTATGACGATCGATGATGCGACACTAGCGCCACGTGATTATTAAATACTATTATCTGATATAATTAATATTTATGGAATTATTTATTATTTCTATCTTTTCACTTTTCAAATGTTCGAATTATGTTTCTATAAACGTGATAGAAATATATTTTATTGATTATTGATTTGAAAATTGTTAAAATTTAGAAATTACTACTCGCATAGTGTCAATAAAATTTAATTATTAAAAATATAATTTTTAAATACGAATAGTTCAGAAATAAAAATGCATATAATTTTTCAATCAATGTTCAACGATTAAAACCAATTCAATTTTGATAAAAGAAATTCAACAAAATAAAACAATTCTTAAAAATAATTTAATAACTTAACGAAGCTATTTCTTTTTTCTTTTTTCTAAAAAATTGATGATGGTATAATAACAATAACCAAATATTAATAAATATTTTTCGAGATCTATGTATCTTAATCATCGTTTCACGAATAACGAATTAAATAATTCACAAAATTTATCAATTTAAAAATTATTTTAAATTGTGTTTGCGTATTTTCGAATAAATGTAATTTAAACATAAATATTATTCAATATTTTGACAATGAAGATCTCTCTTAAGAATGACTGATCAAAAAGAAAAGGTTAGAAATAGACTAAGAAAAATAGTTCTGGTATCCTTTGAATTTTATTGACATTTTCAGGTCGCGAGCCACATATGTATTCGTCAGTCTACTTTCTTTCTGAGATTTCCAACTATTTCCGAAGAATTTAGCCGGAATATTACAAGGTGTTCTCACTGGAATACAATTGCTTGTATTGCAATGCACGTACTCAATAATGGAGGCCAATTAAAACGAGGTTGGCCGTTGTTAATTAAAGCAAGAATTGCTTGCAGTATTGCTGCTTATTGCAGTATTACCGTGACAATTATTGACATATGAGACTTCGATATTCGCTTGAATTGTTAAAGTAATTTCGAACTATAAAAATAATAACGAGTTTAAAGGAAGCACAAAAGTGAAATTAAATTTTACACGGGAAGATATCGTTGAAACTTTTAAATTCTTTGAATAGTAATTTAATATCACGATATATCAATTTTACAAACAAGAAAGCAAAGCATTAATTGTAATGACAATTAAAATTTAATTACAAAAAATATTTACTTTTTTAACATTTATCATCCCCACGAGTGAAAAACAATTTTAAACAATTAAAAACATTTATAGAGAATTATTATCACGGTTAAAAATTTAGATCCTATCCTTTTCCTGATGTATAAAACGAGCAAATAAACTAAACAAAGAGAAAAATAAACGAATATCGCAAATTGTAAAAAAAAAAATTCCTCTCAAATATCATCGTTAAATCATATCAACTCGATAACATTTCTGAAATATTCATATTTAAATATAACGAGAAGAAAGATTATCGATCACAAGAATATATCCTATCGTTTTTCTCTACGATGCAAATGATTTGAAACTAGAACCAACAAGCTCGCTCTAGATTCCCCTCCCGCGCGACACGTTTCCCATATTTTTCCCTTCCACTTGCTTATTTTCATTCCAAATCATCGGTTCACAGCCGGGTAAAAGGACGGGTAACGCGATTTTCGATCCCGTTGCAGCTGGAAAACTGCACAAAGTTCGACGGTCCGGAAGATATGGATAATCGGAGAGGTATCCTCCCGCTTTCGCGGGAGTTGAATTTCTTTCTGGTCAACTTTGGAGGAAGAATTAAAATTATACCTCTCCCCGATATAATTAAAAATTGTCGAGATATATTTATCGATAAACTCGAGGATCGGTTTAAAGATTCGAAAAAAAAAATTATTGCAGCGTGAAAAAAAAGAAAGTGTGAAAGAACTATAAACTGTTGCTGGTGATATTTATGCAATTCAATTGTTTGGAAATCTCGGCTTTTTCAAGCTTTGCGCGTTTAAATATCGTGTAAAGTAGAAATGAAGTTTGAAAATATTTATATCTGGTTCTAAAGATTAACGAAATATTTGAACTCTTATTTAAAGTTTAATTTCATCCTTGCTCACCCTGTCGAAAGAAATAAGTATTTGATCAAGATATAAATTCTCTTCCTCCATGTTTCTTTTTTCTTTCTTTTTACTTTCCTTCCTTGCAATTTATTTTCGCTCTTTCTTTACTGAATAAAAACGCTTGATTCTTCCACTTTTTTTTAAAAGCAAATCCTTAAACTTCTCACCAAGGGGAATTCTATCATATCCCTTGGAACATCATTTCATCGAACAATCAAATCGTGACAAGACGTCAGAACGAAAAGCCATGGAACAAGCAAAGGCTGGCCCGGCCAAGTATCGCCACGTTCGAAAAGCTCTTCGAAAAGCTCTTAAAACCGTTTCTCACCGGCTCAAAGTAACCGTGTAATCGCGGCCAACCCCCCCAACAACCCCTTCGACATCCTCGGCCAGTCAGCCGACCGACCAACCCCGTTGGAGAACCGTTTCGACCGCTTCCTCTTCGTCGTTAACCACTCTCGACACACACACCTCCCCTTCCCCTCCCCTCTTGAAAGAAATGGGTCGGCCACGAACCACGAAAATTGCTTCGATCTGAACGACTTTCGAGCTTCTTACCCGTTCTTCCACGCTAAGACTTTTTTTTCTCTACCGCTTCCTGGACAGGAACAGGCGGAAATGCGTGATGTACAATATTTACATATGGAGAGAGAGAGAGAGAAGAAAGAGAGAGAGAGAGAGAGAGACAGAGAGAAAGGAAAAAAACACTAGGAACACAGCACAGCACGCTAG